GATTCAGTCATAGTCCCAATAAATCTGATCTAGTCCCAGTCTCGGTAGCTTTTTTTCCTGTTGGTTCAGGATCCGATGACTGGAATTAAGAGTGTTCTTGCAGATCTCTATTTGACTAGCGTCTGTCACGGTTTGTGGAGGGAGGAACCACGTTTTTTACACATATGTTTTGACAATATTTTTAGATCGTGTTTCATAAAAACGAAGAAAAAAAGAGATATGAAGATTGAACAATACCAGTAGTCTTTTTCGATAAATCAGCAAGTGGTTGTCGTGGTTGAATTTTTTCCCAAGCTACTTCTTGTTCAGCTTCGGCATCTTCTTTTCTTTCTTGTTCTTCACGTAAACGATCGAATTCAACATTTGTTGATGTTACAAGATATGATCTATTCATATGAATAAAATTTAAAAAAATAAGATAATTGCTGTAGTCTTCTTCATCGTTTGTTTTTCTTACTTATCGAATATTTTATGTTCATCTAATTTAAGAAAATTTCGAATTGATAAACATAAATCACAACCTTCTTGTCTTGCAAATGATATTATTGCAACAGGTAATAATTGTCGTGGAAAACCATTATTTTGAGTTAGTTCAAAATCAAAAACTGTTTTCTAAATTAACACAAAAAAAAAAGTTTTTTCTATCATTAATCAATTATGATTATAATAATTCTACAATAATTTTATCTCCAATTGATGGTAATTTTGGTCCATTTACAACTTCACGTGTTGCAATACGTTCATAAGATAATAACTATGAATAAATAAAATTATATCTTTATCAAATAAAAGAAAAATTCTTTACTTTATATTGTATAAAATGAACATTTTCTGTATTTGAAGATTCCATATATAATAATTCATCGATTGATCGACAGATAATAATACCTGTTAATCGTTTACGTAGAACAGTTGGAATAACAATTTTTCGTCCTGGTGTTGTCAATGCACCGGATTCTGTTTTTACAAGTTTTGAATGATATATTTGTGTACATATAACTGATGGAACACACTAGTTTAGATATCGAAAACAACGAAAAATAAGTTCTAGTTTCTAACAGAAAAACAAAACATCATTCACAATCGATTTTCTAATATGTTCATTGAGATACTTTATCATCTGTATATATAAAAGGAAAATAATAAATCGAGAGTGTTTTTGCTCTGTTCTCAGATAGTGACTAAGGTAATTGAGAATTAGAATCATTGTATATTCATCGAATACGATACATCTTATTGACTTACAAATTAACAAAATAGATAAAATTCAAATGGATATGATGAGAGGTGGTGGTACAGATTAAATGAAACAAAAATCATTTTCTTTTTTTTTTCTACTCAAATATACTCTCAGGAAATTATCTGATAGAGAGTTTTTCACTCTACAAAATTGTTGCGTAAGTTTTGATTATTGCAGTAAAAATCAAAAGTATGAACACATGTTTAATCGTCTAACTGCTATCTTCTTCAGTCTTCATCAAGACTAATCCAAAAAGTAACGTAGTTAGCATCCATGGATATAGAATTTTGTGCTTACTACTGCCACCACCTTTTCAAGATTTCTGCTAGTATTATTTATGAGAAAAAATAGCGTGCAATTAACATTTAGTGGTTGTTTTTGTACGCATCTCAGAAAAATACTTTTTTTTTCAAAACAACACTTGATATATTAAACAATCATTCTTGCACTTTTGGGTGCAGAATTTAATTGTAAACAAAATGATGTGACTTCTAAGTTGAAGAGTACAAACAAAATTAGGGTGTATCGAATTAGAAAAAAGAACAATCACATAATCTTGTCCGATAAGGGTTTTGTCCAATATTTTCTCATTGATTATTTCAAGATTTTTGTCATAAATATTTCTTGTAGAACTCTGAAACATATATCGAAAGATGCTGAATTTTACTGACATATTTGAAAATTCAGCAAACTATTGTTAAAAGAAGTTTTCTTCATTTTTCCCATTTGTTTGATTATCGTAATTGCATGATTGAGTAAATGTGATAGTCCTTTGGTCTTAAAATTCATGTTGAGGAATTATTTGTTTAATCATTTCTTCTGAAACGAATTTTTATTATTTGATCATCATACTTGAATGTTCACTAGAAGACACTATAGACTATATTATGGTATAATATTACTAACAGATTATGGAAATGGATTAATAAAACGAATGAAGGAAAACATGTGTTTAAAAAAAGTGTGACATATACTTTTCAGATTTATATATTTCACATAGATGATAATGGATTTATAATGTCCACTTAGAATGCTAATCATCAAGTCCAGAAGTGTTGCTCTCGACATTTGTGTCAGTGTTTAACTCGAGTCAGACCTCGAGTTGGGTCGGGTCAGATCGAGTCACAAAAACATCATAGTACATATCAGGTCGGATGAGATTGGGTTACGAAAATATTTTTGAACTTTAGGATAGATCTGAAGTCTGAACATTTTGCAGATTAAAAAGACACTCGGAATGGTTTTTTTTCATTTAAAAGTTCTATAAGAGAGCGTAGAAAAGCTTGGTAAAAGAAGGAGTTATGTATTACACTACCTTTTCTTCTACTCCACTGACTTTTCTTTGTTGACTTTGGACAACGACGCATAACTAGTGCATTGTATGGTCCATGGTCCCATATAGGTTGCAGGTTGTATACATAAGAAAAGAAAGACAAACAAGAAAACATTCTATCACATGACTGTGTTGTCCTAATTTCGGAATATCGGCGAAATGTCAGGGACATATCCTTTTTTTTCAACTACGAAATGAAAGGAAGAAAAAAAAAGATTGAGAAATTGATTCTCTCAAGAGAAAAAGGAGAATGGTCGATACTATATTCCAGCTCAAATCGGGTTGAGTCACAAAAATTTAATCCATGCCGAAGACTGATTTATGTTTAATAAAAGTTCTTCACTGTTATCGGCTACTTCGTAGTTCTTTACACTCTTAATACGATGTATAGGTTCCTTTGGCAAAAGATCATCATTAATAAGCTGTTAGAGTATCTATGAGTAAGTATACTTCTTTTTCTGATCATCTCATCTCACAGTCGTCAAGCTCAACACCATCGCTAGTAAACATTCAGTTTGGAAATTAATCTCTTTTTCTTTTACAACTATAGTAACGGGCATAAGTTTAGAGCAGATATATTTTTGAGTTTTCTTTTCGATGATAATAGCAAGAAAGAATCTAAAAAAAACAACATTTGAGTAGCTGAAAGCATTCTCTATTAGGATCGATGAATCTAAAACTCCAATAAAATTGCTTGGATGAGGATGTCTGGAAAATTAAGATCCCTAAAATTAGTTTTATGGCATCCATTTGCAGCTTTTTGGAAATGGTTTTATTTGATAGCACAAAATGAGATGTCTCGACTTTCTTCATGATTTTTCTTCATCGAATTGCATTTAGTATATAGAAGGTCTCAAAGCATCAAACACAGCGACATCACTGAAATTTTTATAAAAACAAAAGAAAAATACTTCTTGGATCTTCTATAAATTGAATGCAGTTCGATGAAGAGAAGTCATGACGAAAGTCAAGACATCTCATTTTGCTCTATCAATGAAATCATTTTGAAAAAGCTTCAAATGGATGCCATAAAACTGGTTTTGTCGGATCTTGGTCTTCCAAAAATCCTGAAGGAGAAACGACTTATTCCAATACTTCTGTGTTCCCTGGATTCTGGAAGTACAGTGGGAGTCCCAGGAGTACAAGAGTACCTCGTTTCCCTTTGTACTCCCTGTACTTCGGGAGTCCACAGAGTTCAGTCGGACTATACGAACTGTGCAGAGTATGGGAGTACGTCGTTTTCCCCTTGAGAAATCTCCATTCAAGTCGTTGTATTAGAGTTTTCAGATCCACCAATCTTGATAGAGAATCCTTTCCGCTACTCAAATGTTTTTTCGGATTCTTCCTAGCTATTGCCATCGAGCAGAAAACTCAAAAATACAACTGTTCTAATCGTTTGTCCTTCACTATATATGAATAAGAACAATGAGTTAAATCACTATTACTAAAAATAGCTACGATGTATAAGCTGAAATCAAAAAAAAACAAAAACAAAAATCAAGATTAGGTAAGTGTCACGAATGCATCAAAATGAGTCATTACTTCTATTCATTATAACTATCACCTTTTACAATAGCACTTATTCTAGTGAGTCGTAGCAACTATGTGACTATGACCTTAATACATAATAAGTAACTTTTCTTGCATACAAAAACAAAGTAGAAAAAAAAGCCAAAAACATCAAAATTTCAACTTGAATTCGAGATCAAAGGACTATAACATTTTAAATTTCGTTTAAACAATGAAAATTATTAGAAAAAACAAACGCAAGAATTTTGTAGAATGAAAAATTTTCTATCAAAAAGACTTTCTGAACGTTAATCTGTGATTTACCTGCATTTTTTGAAGTTTTTGCATATATTTTTTATTTCGACTTGGATCACATATGAGAGACATTCCAACAAGTTTCCATGGTAAAGGATCTGTACGTCGATTATTGAATGTATATTCAACATTATGAACAATTGTATCAAATATAACACCTTTTGATAAACTCAATATACTTGCTAAAATGTTTATCAAAGTTGAAAAATACGTTAAATCGTTATTTTTTTTTTACCAGGATCGATCTCTAATGGTATGAGTGATGATGTAGCTAATTTTCGTTCATCATTAGCCATCATTTTTATTCAATCTAAAATGAAAATCAATAAATATCAAAATTCTTCTGACAAAATGGTGCCTCATAAAAAGATCATTATCATCAACAATCTATACAGAAAACTATTTATTAAAGTACTTGCTATAAAATTAAATAATATAACATCTTGTTGATTATTTTTTTTATACAATACATTGAAAGCGCCAAGAACAAGGCGCCTTATATCACATGAATGAAATTTATTTGCCGTTTATTTTCTTAATATGACTGATTATGACATATTCGTAACAGAATGTCTAATGAAGATAAAGATTTCGATATATGTAATGATTAAAAATAATAATTTTTTTGTTTATTATAATATAACATACTCATTGTATATATTCTAGATGAAAATAATAAATATCGGAAATTACTTCCAATAAATTCTCTTGATGCTTCACATGATCAAATTAACAAACAAAATAGAATCGAACAAAATTTCTTAATACAACCTGAAGAATCATTATCGGTATTCCAATAGTAACAGAAAAATCTTACAAAAATTACACTAAAAATCAATTTTTCTAGTCTTCTATCTATCCGAAAGAAAATAAAAATAATACAAATCTAACGACAAACTCTCTTGAACTCTCCACTCTTGATCATAAGTATTAGTATAACATGATTGATTTTCATTTTCTAAATATATTTCTCTAGAATCTCTGAACAAAATTTAACTAAATCTGATATTCAAATTTCAAATACATCTAGTCAATTATCTTCATCATCAAATACAAAAAGTATTGAAACAACAAAAAGTGAATTAATTCAACGTATTCTTGATTCATTTAAACCTACAATAAACTTAAAATGTTCATCTAATAATACAACAAATACATCTCTATCATCTATTGATAAAACAATAATTTCATGTCAATCATTAAATCTTTCAAATAAAATTTATATATATTTTAAAGATAAAAATGAATTAGGTATGAAACCAAATATTAATGATTTACTTGAAAAAATTGACTATACTAATAAATGTTCATGTCATCGAATTGAAATTAATTTTAATAATCATATTCTTAATCAAGAATTATCTTATAAACAAAAACAATCAATTTTACGTATCATTTTACGGCGACAACAAATTTTTGATCAATTTTTTTCTCAAACGTAAATGTAAAATATCATTCATTCACCTGATCAAATATTAATCACCTTACACACCTGTCGTAGATTCGAGCTCAGAAATAAAAAAAGCTGGATCTACTATTGGAAAGAGCATTCTTTGATAGTGTAAGAAATAAAAGCATCTCTATTTCTAAATAACCTTTATCGTATCATATATATGGAATCTTTCTTAGAATATCCCATTGAAAAATCTTTAATAGAGAAATAAATACTTTAACAAATTATTGATTAATAAACCAAAATTTATCAATTATATCTTAGTAAATAGATAATAATCGTGCTCGTTTATCATTTGATTTACATACAGAATGTTTACCAATCAAGTTATTACGTTCATAACTTGTGTACATTTTTAATAAAATTCTGTAAGAAAAAATCTGTCTCATAGGGTATTTTCTTTTTAAACTTACAGTTGGCGACAAAAGTTTAACTGAATTTGTTTCTTTCAATTTTTTTTACATATTTATTTTTTCGGTTTCTCTTTCATATGAAGAGATACTGATCTGATTCAAGTGGTGATATAAATAGTAAGAGAGGCCGACTACATTATGTAGTATTGGAAATATGTAGAAATTAAAGAGATCACCGCTTGAATCAGATCAGTACCTCTTCATGTGAAAAAAAAATTTGACACCTTTAAATGTGTAAAAAAAGAAAAGAAACAAATTTGCTTAAACTTTTGTCATCGACCGTATATTCACAATTTTGAGAAGCAAAATGGCACAATCACATAAAAGACACTCATTTTATCTAATTTTCGTCTCAGCTTTCTAAATATACAATATCATATAATTTAATTAGGATTTAAAATTTTTTTTTTTGACTATTGAACATTTTTGTACTAAAAAAATGCTGTTTTTCTCTTCTTAAATACCCATATAATTGAAATCAGTATCGAGTGTGTGTTGTATAAAATCGAAAATTTAATTTTTCAAAATTTCTTGTGTCGAACGGGTTTTTTTTCATAGAAATTTGATTAAAAAATCTATCTTTTCGAGTAGGATTTGATAGTAATGACAAATATATGTTAGCTTCTAATTTTATTCTAGTTCTAAATGCATATTTAAAAAAAAGATGAAATTTTCTGATAGATAGTATTTTCAAACTATTAATCAAACAAAGCACATTTGTTAGAGATTAAGAAAAACTTCTGAGTATTCGTCAAAAATTGCACAATTTTCATCTAGAACATTTCTTTGTGTAACATTTCCGCTGATAAAAAATTTAAAATCTTTAAAGTAGTTGAAAAAAAAACAATTCAATTTCATAAAAAATTTTTCGGGCCCTCTATTTTCTTAATAACTCTAGTTAAGTTGGGCTAAACCGATTGAAAGTTTCATTAATAATAGAATTCGATAGGCTTTTGTCTCCATAAAAAATTTCAGCATGTTAGCAACTATTGTTGCAGAGATTATGCTTAAAAAAGGAGAAAAAAAATTAAATTCTGTAAGGTTTAATCATACTGTTTTAAAATTATGTGCATATGATAAAAAAAATGGGTATTTTTTTTTTGCATAACTACTCATATTCAATAGATATCATAAGAAAATCAAGGGATCAAAAATTAAAAAAGAAATCTTTCTTACTGTATATTTTGTGTTTTCCTAAATATTATTAAATAGAAATGTACAAAGTAGACAGAATTGTGAAAAAGAAAGATGAAAATTTATAAACACGTGACAACCATATTTCTCTCTCTTTTTGTCTATGTTTATATAAATAAGCTGAAGTCATTTTGACAAAATGCGTAGTTAAACTGTTTTCTTTTATTTCGATAAAATATATATCAAAGAAAGATGAAATCTAGAATAATGATCAATACTGATTATGACGTTATTTTCATTCTTATCATTTTAAAATATGTATGAGCTGATATCTACGTAGTTCGTTTACATTAACAGAAAAGAGGCGGAGAACAAAGAGAATAGTATTGCACGTGTACAAAATTATGTAAGAGCGTTAAAAATTTGCTGTTATCATTTAAGAACAAATGTGAAAAGTATTTTAATAAATTTTCTACTTGAAAAAATGAATTAAATGACATGAATTTTTATAACTTATTATATTCTGCAATCCATATATGAAATAATATTATTTTTCGCTCTTTTATTAAAAAAAAAAACATTTAAACGAACTATGATGATTTTTGCGATTGATTTGTGAAATTCATTTGTTAATCTTAATAAATAAGTCTTTGAAAGACTATCATTTTTATTATTAATTCTTCTATAGAATAAGTAAAAGAAATTTGGTATTGTATGAAATTTTTAAAAATTTTATTTAATCTAGTATTGTCTGTGCTTACATTGAATAATACAATCCACAAGGTTGTTTAGCTATGATATATCAACATATGTATTCAACAATTTCATTAATATACGAATGCTATTTAAAGTCTATAACAATGTACCTATAATCGTTATTCGATGATTATCTAAGTGATAAACAAAAGATTCTTTAATTAAAAAAACAATGATATTTTTGATTAATTAATGACTAATCCACATAAAGGTAAATTATCACAATGACGCTTTTGTTACATTAAACAATATAGGTTATTTAGACAAAGGTTGCATGGTTGATTGCCGTACAACGACCTATTTATCTAAAAAGATATTTTCTTATGCTGCTTTTATCGACGACAGTATTTTTAATCATTAACTTTTTTCAATATTCATTTCACATTATTATTTGTCAATAAAGTGTAGATGCTACTCTAGTTCGACCACAATATCACTTTGATACTCTTTGATATTCCTCATTGTCAACCAAACCAATTAGCGTATAGGATGTCGTCGATCTAGAGAAGAACCATATTTTTAAACGGATATATAGTTTATCTACAGATACACTCACACTCTATTGACTAATTATTTTAATCATATATTAATTTGTTTAATTGCTGAAAATAAAATGGTGAATGTGGATAAGAAGCTGTTTGAACCGTATAGAAATATCTCAGAAGAGATAACGAAAAATCACTAATCAAAAAAAAAGCTTGATGGTTAAAAATATTAGTTCTCTGCTTTTCTTATGATCAAATACGTTTATATTAAAATCTTGGGTCTTAGAAAATTTTGCAACAAAATATGTTGTATTATTATTCAATAAATATATCAAATAAGAAGAAAATTTTCAATCGTACATAATTATATTAATATTTTCATATTATAAAGGGTTATACAGATAAATAGAAAAAACATCAATATATCATGCTGCAAGTGACATTATCGCCTGTTTATTTATATCTCGGTTGTCTATCTACAAATCGAAATATATAAAAAACAAGCTAGTCACCATTAAAAAGCTTTTTTATTGATATATTCCATTGAAATAGATTGAAGTGCTTCATAAATCATTTTTGTTTTTGTTTGTAGTCTTTAATAAGATACATATCAATATTGATTCTAATCATTATACTGATATGAAATAGAAAAATCGATGTTTTCTTTTTTTTAGTTTTTGTTCAATTCTATCAATCTTAGTTTCATATAAATGATAAACAATTGAATAGGAAATTTTGATAAGATATCATACTAGAGAAACAATTATTTTTCTCATAATTCCTTTAATATAAACGATGTTATACGAGATACGTATATATATGACCAATTTTTCTCCACTTATATTAGCAGCTCTCATTAATTTATATATACATATAATATTTGTCGTTTCTAAAACCACGTCATTAATCGACTCTTTACATAAGTGAAGCATTCGTCAACAAATTTAATAATTATAAACTTAATATTTTACAATTTCTTTCTATTATGATTTCATCGATCATAAAATTTATTATTTTTATTTTTTTTATCTATTGTGACTCAAACAAAAATTGATGTATACATATAAAACATTAGAATCTGAAATAAAAAGCCTTCATTGACTTAAATGTGACTCTAAAATGTATGCAAATTTCTAATATCAAAATATAATTATGCGATAATCAGCGTGTAATAGGAGATGATTTTATTGCACAAGAAAACGTTAATAACATGTTGATCATGTTTTCTATTTTGATGATTGTATAAAGAATGCGTACGTTGCAATAAAAAATTAAAGATAATAATAATGCTTTATTATTATTTGTTTACTCAAGATGACTAGCATATCTAAATTTAAACGATTATCAAAAATAAACAAATATGGGCGAGCAGTAATTTATCTGAAGAGTCTGACATTTATTTTTTATAGAAAACCTTGAGCTATTGTCATGAAAATGAATGGGCTCTTTATTTGGGTCCCAATCTTCTCTATAACTAATTTTTTTTTTGCGACTCTTGTATATGACGTAGTACATTTAATGAGAGAGAGAAATAATGTTTTTTTCTTGTTTAGTATATTGGTCTATGTGGTAATAAGTAACCACAAAAAAAAAAGGTATAATTAGGCAGATGCATGAGGTGATTGGTGGTTATACGGTAGTGATAAGAGAGCGTTGTCAACCAAATATAAGGAGAGAAATAAAAAAGAAAAAAATATTTTTAGCCATAAATCTATAGAAAAAAAAATGTTTACGCTATATACGCTTGACTGAGTCGAGGGGTTATCGTCGTTATACTACTCTGGTTGGAGTATAAAAGTAAGCAGAAATATTCATTATAATCACATTCATCATCATCGTTCTCATTGAAGTTTTACTGACTAGAAATAACTTGTGACTACCTACAATCATGAGTTTTGACGCCGCTCGTGCAATATTCAATTCAATTGATGCCAACCGTGATGGTGCCATTGACCGTAATGAATTCCATAGCTTCGTTGGTGGTGCTGGTGGTTTTGGAGGCGGATACGGTGGTTATAGTAGTTATGGAGCCGGATATGGTGGTGCATCAAGCTATGAACTCGGCGGTGCTGGATATGGTGGAAGTCTTGGCTTATCAAGCTATGAACTCAGCGGTGGTGGAGGTCTTGGCTTAATTGGTGGTGGCTCATCAAGCTATGAGGCCTCAGGATTATATGGTGGCGGTGCATATGGAGCTGAAT